CAGGAGAGGTCTGCCGCGCCATGTGGTCACCTCCGGGGGGGGCAGGAATTGAACTCATGCTGCAGTGGCTTTAGCTTCTCAGTGCTGTGCTTTACCCGCTGCGCCACCAGGGAGGGCCCAACAGTTGTCTTTTAATATAACCCTAAATGTTATTTGCTAGTGGGATTTTGTGCATTTATATTTATCCTTTATGTTTCCTCGCTGTACTATTCTATTTCCTTTGTTAACGTTTCTATGACTTTCATGTTAACATTTTAAAATCGTTTTCATTGTTTTCTGTGCTTTTAAAAATGAAATTGTACCTTAAAAGTTTGAAAACTTCTCATTAAAGTTAAGTAGTAATAAACTTTAAACCTTTATTTGAATTATTCAAAACCTTTCATTTCTTTCATAGTTACTGATTGATGATATTATCTTTCTCTTTCTTATAATCTGTAATGTTTACTCCTAAAATCATTTTATTGATCTCAAATTTGAGTAAAGTATGTAATTTTAAACTTCCCAATTAAAAAGTAAAAGCAATATACAATCACTTTAGACATTTGAAAAGTGACTGTTTGCTTAATTTTAGAAAGTTAGATGTATTTTTAGAAGTATACTGACCTCTTATCTATTTTTATGTGTTTATATGTCCTTTGTGACAGAACACAGAGTTTTGATTCTGATTTACTATATCACTTTTTTTAATTTGGAAAAAAGGAGAACTGTCTCAAAATAATTTCCATACTTCCCTTATTTTAAATACTTAAATACGTATCTTTATTGAGCTTTAAAATTCACATCCCAGGGCCCTCCCTGGTGGCGCAGCGGGTTAAAGCACAGCAATAAGAAGCTTAAGCCACTTCCACATGAGTTCGGTCCCCGCCTGCCCTGCAGGAGATCCACATGGCGTGGCAGACCTCTCCTGACCCTCCCACTACTCCCCTCAGCAGTGTGCTTCTCCATCTGCCTGCTCCCTGCTCTGTCCCTGGTGAATCCTCTCACCTTCCGTATCTCTGGCCTGTACCTCAGTTCTGTATGAATAAATAAATAAATCTTTAAAAAAAAAAAATTCACACCCCAGAGTTCATTAACAGAGCAGTGGCTATTCTTTCAGATTTTCTTCACAAGATTTTATAGACATAGACTGTACTTAAACAATTGTTTTTGTTTTTTAAAGACAAAAAGATCACATTGTGCTTCCTAGCTTGTGGCCAAGACATTTTTAATAGTAAAATTGAATGTTTTAAAGCTCCTGTTTATCTAAAGTGTCAAGTGTCTGGATACACTGATTTGGATTTTTTGGGTGGTTTTCTTAGGTTTGGGCAGTTTGCCAGGCTTCATTCAATAGTGAACATAAACCTATCAGTAAACGCTAGTCATTTCTGACCTTTGTCGGTATGTTAAACATTTCACATAATTATTGAATTCATACTGCTTTGTGTTCTGTTTTGTTTTGTTTTTTAACTTGTCAGCAACTATTATGTGTTCCTCTTATTTTTTCTTTCATTCTATTCCTTCTCTGTTGGATATTTCAGGCTTGTTTTAACTATAATGTATGCTACCTTGCGTTGCTTTTATTATACATCATAAATCCTCTTACCGTGTCCTCAGTTATATCTAGTGGAGACTAGATAATAGGGAGCGTTGACTAAGGAGCCATTTGGCGGAGACAGTAAAGATGAAGTAGGAAATGGTTGGGGTGACTGAGAACTGGTACTTTCTGTCTTTTGTGTTATCTGTTGGAGAAATAAAACACCTCCGTCTTTGCATTTAGTGCCAATTAGTATCCTTCATTTCACTTATCATAAAGCTTAGTGATCTTTTTCATAAGGCTTCCTAAATTTTGAGACTGGGTTATGTGTTCAGCACTTTGTATTAGTGATATTAAGGTCCTAACCCCCAGGGGTATATGGTAATTTTTAGTACAGAAGTCTCTCCCAGATTGGGGAGGTCAGAACATAGGGGTGTGGATCACATAAGTGTAGATAGATATCTTGTGTGCGATTGTCAGTGTTTATATTAAGTGCTAGTGAAACTTCCTTTGTTTATTATATCAAAAATGTAGTATATATGGTGATGAGAAGCCCACAGGGATTACAACTGTGATGGAAAAAGGCAGAAAATGATGTAAAAATTAA